TTGTGCTGGCCTTAAAACATTTGATTCTTGCGTATGCAAACGAAAAGTGAACGAATTTCTTTTTGGCTAGCCGCATATTCATAAAGTGCTTTTTAATGGCAGCTAGAGGTCTCAGCCCCAGTCTCGGCTCTTGGGCTCTCGAGTCGGCCTGAGTAACCAGATCCAAGTCGAAATTCTAGCTGCATCGCAATGAGAATGAATGCTGACAGGCGGCCAGCCAGGAGGCGTCTGTCATTTATCCGAAGTCTTTGCATGTCGTTGCATGCGGCTACAATTGATAAGCAGCCAAAGCAGAGCAGAGCAAAGTCGAAGCAAAAGAAAGCTTAAGGAGTGTAGCAGCTGGCTGCTCTATAGCTCATTCCCAGTTGGCATTGGCATTGGCATTGGCTTTGGCTTTGCGTTCTGGGCTTTGGCCAAATCCGTTAATAAGCCATTTTGACAAATTGGATGAATGCCGGCAAATGCTAACGTATCGATTGGATGCTGATGTTGAGTAACGTATGGCAAAGTGTGACAATTGCCATTTGCCGATTTGCCATATCGAACGGAAGAGTAACGAGCAGCATTTGAGTCAACGATTGCTGACTAAGGCCCAAACACCATATTGATTTAATGCTACATGTAAATATGCTGCGCTAAAGTACCTTTAAGAGGGGCGCAGCGATATCAAAGGCCTCGACTTGACAAACGATTTTGATAAGCTGAAGACAAACAGGCAAAAATATATGGAGGAAATATTTCTAACAATAGGCAGGATTATAGGTGCTTAGAGGATGTCGACTGGGAGGTACTCTTTAAGAATACTCCTTTATAGCACTATATAAAATAATCTTTACAGTACACTTGAAAGAATCTTTAAAAATTTTATTGTTGACTGCTGCCTTAATGGAGAAAAGTAATAATATGATTTTAATAATTTGATTTTTCATTATATTTATTTTAAAATAATATGTATTATATACTCTTTACATATAAAATATAACATTCGCGCTTTTTGTAATATTTGATTGATAGATAGATATGTAGATTAAATGGAATGAATTATAGGAATACTTGTTGAAAAATATATATTTTTTGTTTTTGTTTTCAAGTTAATTTTAAATCTTACAATTTCTCTCACTCTCTAGTTAATACTTTTTACTCTGCCTCACTTTCTCTTTCTCAGTGTGTCTATCTCTCTCTCTCTCTCGCTTTGTCGTTCTTTCTCTGTGTGTCTCTCTCTTTTATCTTTATATATTATTATCATATTTTATTTTGACTCGTTCGTTTCTTTCTATTAGACTGCTTCCTGCATATCTCTCTCTCTCCCTCTGTCTTCCTCTCTCTCTCTATCACTTTAGTTGATTCTCTTATCCTCCATTGCTCTGCTTAAGCATTATCACGATCGTAGCACTTGATGGTCTTATTGCACTCATCATCATGCACTTGAGTGAATACTAGAAGACAATAGAAATTCCATTTAAAATAGAGCGCCGATTATAAGAGCTCTAGTCTCTACTTACCATTCTTGGTATTGAAGCAGTTCCATTCACTCAGCTCGCATTGTCCTGCAAACTCGACCACACAGTTGCCATTGGAGGCACAGACGGGCAGAGATTTCTCTGGGCACTGGTAGTTGCATTTGCCCAGCTTCTTCAGCTCCAGCTGATGGTCGAGCAGCTTGGGCACTTCCTCGACTTCGGACAGCAGGCGAGCGGCATGGTGGGCTGGCTTGTTGGTTGTGGTGCTGGTGGTTGTGGTACTGGTGCTGGTGCTGGTGCTACTGCTGGTGGTGCTGCCTTGTTTGTGCTTTTGCGCCTCGAGCTTTTGGCGCTCTTTGATCGCCTGATTGATGGCTTGGGGTATGTGCGTCTGCGCCTGTTGCATCACATAGGCGACTTTTTGTTGCACCTTGCTGACCTTGTCGCCAATGTCCAGCGGCGCTTGGCCGGGCACTGAGACCACAATTTCCGCCACTGGCGGCATCACCACTTTGTTGTAGCCAGCAGCATGTTGCCATGTGGCCGTGGCCCGATGATTTATCACCTGCGGCAGCTTCGTTGGCTCCACGTGTGGCGGCAGCAAATCCAAATGGGGCACAGCCACATCATTGCCCTTATTTGCTGCTGCCCCAGCCTGCGGCACGTGGCCCGTGAGAGTTGCAACCTGGCCATGCGGCTTCTGCGCCAGCACTTGATTGATGTGATTCGTTATCAGCGTTTGCACGTGCGCAGGCAGCTCATTGGGCTCCTGCTTATCCAGCTGCGCGGCCTGAGTCAGCGCAAGCAGAGCTGCAGTTGGAGTGGGATTTTATTAAACCATCTCTATAAGCTCTAGATAAGTACTCACCAAATATCAACAGAGCGCGCATTTTATCTCTTATAATCCACAAATCAGACTCGTTCTTAGTATACAATCCACTTGCGTTCCACACTCTGTACAACTCAACTGCACAACGTTCGATGTCGTTCTGTTTGATTTTCGTTGGCAGCAGCCAGTTTTTATACGATCCTCAAAAAATTCAAATATCAAATATCAGTTATTTTTGCATCAACAAAGATTTGTCATAAGAATTAAAATTTTTTTTTTGTTTGTTAATGCACTTTTTATGATAATACGAGTAAGTATTGTAAATGCCTGTACTTGATAGCAGTCGCAAGGAACGGGTTTCGTTCTACCTGAACGATCAGCTGCTGGCTGGGCAAATATTCTCAATAATGTGTCTGCTTATGAATTAATCGCTTCCTCATATAGGTAATATTATTAATGATATTTTAACATGTTTCATATTTATATCCAATTGGGGCGTGGCAGTTGGTTATGGAAGAAATGGGGATATAGTGATAGGAGAAAGAAAGGGTTCAATTCTTAGATAGAACTAATTCTGTAGTATCAATATATGAAGACTTTTTCGACTACCCAATAGTTCTGTATGGTTAGAAGAAAGTTAGTTCTTTATCTAAGTAGAAAGAAGTTTTTACATTATTTTTCTTCTATACTCAGGGATCGATTTCTATATAGTTCTATATCTATCTCTGTACACATTTATATATCTTATTAAGTTTCCTCCAGTTCTACTTAGAGATTTTTTTCCGATAAAACTTTTACAATATATATACTGAATAAATTATATATAACATATTAAACGAACTTTCTTATTTTACCAACTGTAGATATTTAAAAACCTTTCTTCCTTCTATACAAAACGAATTCTATGTAGATCTTCAAAATACTTTCCCACAAAATAAGTTCTACATAGATATAGATATCATCTACAGCATATGAGTTATGCAATCACGAGCTGAATACACAAAAAATATAAAAAAAATAATTGGGTATACATTTAGGAGCTTAATTATAATTTTCGGATAACGTCTATTTCCGCTGTCAGCCTAAAGATAGGCAGCAGAGCAATTTATTGAGCAGATGAACACAATAACTGCAATTTAAAGTTCTCTCTAACTGTATATAAATTTCAATTCAATTTCATTTTGATTAACTGTGCTGCAAATAAACCAAATGCCATTATTTGACGTCAACAAAAGAAGCGAATGCAAATTTCCCACGGGGACTTGCGAACGCTGCAAAATGTGTTTTATTTTGAAACAAAAGGTTTTATTTTTGGCAGGCAGGGCGAAAAAAACAGAAGCAAACAAACAAACAAACAAAAGCTGGCAGGCCCAGAGATAATCATGATGATTTTTCAGTTTTGCATATTTTTGTCAGGTGTTAAAATAAAGGATTATGAGCGAACGACAGCAGCCGCAGACCGAAAATTTACATTGACAACATTTTGGTTATAAAAACATTCGAGTCGAGGCACAGAGACAACAGTTGAACAGTTGCTGCCCACACAGCAAGGTCCACAAACATCAACTTTGCCAACAACAACAACCAAGTCCAAATAGTCTTTAGAACTATGAACAATTCGCTGCTCTGCTTGTGTAAGTTTTACATGCACTGTGTGTGTGTTGCTCTCAAACTGTAACTGCATCTTTTCGTCTCTTGCAGTTTGCCTGGCCTTCGCCGCTGCGAGCGCTAGTGTGCTGCCCGTCAAGCGCAGCCATCTGCCGGCCGTCAATCAGCATGGAGAGACGGTCTGGCTGGACGAACTGAACCAGGGCGTGCCCGACAAGTGTGACTTCGCCTGCACCGATCAGGACGTCGAGGTCTGCGCCCACAATGGCCAATGCCTGCAGCTGTTCACCAGCCGCTGCACCATGGCCGCCTACAACTGTCGCAATCCCCAGAAGCGCTTCAACGTGGTCGAGAACTATCGCTGCACCCGGGGCTATCAGCCGCTCTGCAGCAAAGCGGAGCGCAAGGAACTGCAGCTGACGCAGTGAACCGTGAGGCTGGGCTATGAGGAAGTTGGATGATGATGTGCAAAGAATTTGAATTTCGAATTGATTCTTCTACATTTTCTATTACAAACTAAAAATCAATTTTTACAATAAATGACCCTAAATTTAATAGATATGCTTTTATTATTATTATTTAATTTGTTTTAATATATATAGTCGCCAATTTAAAAATGGGGATTTATATATACTTAATAGAATTTCGGTTTTTATTATAATTCACCACTATTTTTTTTTTGTCTTTGATATTGATCGTTAGCTTTTTCCTATATGAATCATTTCTATTGGGAAAAGTAAAAACTGTAAAAATTTCACTCATATTGAAAGAATAATCAAGATCGTAATTCTTTATTAAAAGTAAATACTTTCCTCTTTAAAAAAATTTTATTTTTTCTAACTAAATCATAAATTTTATAGCTCCTTGTTAATATATGTAATTTTCCGCTAATTATTAGTTTTTATGAAACTAAAATATATTTAAGTTAAGCTAAAAAAAATGTTAAATCATAAAAGATTTCAATAGATAACGAAGATATTATTATTATTCGTGCACTTTTATTACTAATATAAAATTTAGCTATTGTTTCAATTCAAATATAAAATCTTAAAAAAAAAAAAAAAAATTTTTTTTAAATTTAAAATTTTTTTTATTTTTTATTATATTGAAATTATAGAAATTTTAATAATTAATAGTCAATTTATAATGTAAAATGTAATATATTCAGCGCATTTGCGAAGATCTATATCTTGAGATCCTGCTCTTTGCAGCGACGAGCGCACAAATCCATCATGCAGATATCCTCGTCCACGGCACGGAACGCCAGATCACGGTGCTTGCAGTTGAAGGTGTCCATAACACACTGATTGGGAAACTCGTGAATGCAGACGCCGTTGTAGGCGCAGATGGGCATCAGCTCAAACTTGGTGCACAGCTGGTCGCAGCTCTCCTGGACGGGTAGCGGCTTGGCTGGAGCGGAGCTGGCCAGCAGCAGCTGGTGGCAGCTCTTGGCGCCCTTGATCATGATGGGTCCAGGCTCAGTCGTTGTGTTGGCTGGTGCAACGACAGTTGGTTGAACCTCAGAGGAGGCAGTTTGTACAGGGATGCCAGGGTTGGGCATGCCAGGATTAGGTATGCCTGGATTGGGCATGCCTGGATTGGGGATGCCGGGATTGGGCATGCCGCGATTTGGAATACCAGGATTGGGCATGCCAGGGTTCGGGATACCAGGATTGGGCATACCGGGATTCGGGATACCAGGATTAGGCACGCCCGGATTAGGAATGCCCGGGTTTGGCATGCCAGGATTTTCGATTCCAGGATTTGGCATACTGCGATTTGGAATACCAGGATTGGGCATGCCAGGGTTCGGGATACCAGGATTGGGCATTCCGGGATTTTCGATTCCAGGATTGGGCATGCCGCGGTTTGGAATGCCAGGATTGGGCATACCGGGATTAGGAATGCCCGGGTTTGGCATGCCAGGATTTTCGATTCCAGGATTGGGCATACCGCGGTTTGGAATGCCAGGATTGGGCATACCGGGATTCGGGATACCAGGATTAGGCACGCCCGGATTCTCAGTATCCCGAATAGCTCTCATGTTGCGTACCTTGACTAGAGGCACCACAACCTCCTCTGCCGTCAGCTTGCCCGGCTTCACCTCCACCACACGCGCTACCTCCACCAATTCGTTATCTTGGCTCATGACGGGTTTTCCATTTGACAGCAACGGCACCTGGACTGTAACCCGGCCGATCTCTTCATTTGGCTTCACCTGCGCTGTGACAAACGCGGAGCACAGCAGCACTAAGAAGAGATAGAAGATATGAGATGATCTGCTTGGGTTATATTTAGATGAGAGTTCCAACCTGTGGCCAATACCAAAAGGAGTTTTCCCATCTTCAGACTTTGACTTGTTGGTCTTCTGTGTCCTGAACTGGGTCTTGGCATGGGCTTTTATACAACTTCAGATGCCCTCCGAGGTTGCGTGTGGAACCGGTTTGAAGCATGCAATCGAACAGCTGGAATGACTTAACAACAGATTCTGACAGAACCTGTTCGGACAAAGCTTTCCTTAATAAATCCAAAAATTATGCTAATTGCATTTGTTTGGCACTTCATTGAGCACTCATAAATATTTAAGCAATTGGTAAAATCATCTCATTCACATTTCTTATAAAATTGTTCTTTATTATTTTTAGTAATATTTCGTACACTTCCTTGGTGTAAATTACATTTAAAACTTGATGCATACAGCATAGTTGTTTGTGTGTACTACATACATAATTTTATATTTAGTTATGTATACATTTATTTAGTTAAGCATAATGGACTTTTTGTTAGTGTTATCTACAAGCTTAGATCTCCGCACTATTTATCGGTCTATATTATACAAATTAATTGCTAAAATTGTTTAAAAATCATTTAAGGCATCAAATATTTTGATTAGCAAATTATTAAATTTAGTTTCGATATATTTATATATATGTATATATTAAAAAGTTGACCACTTTGAGTTCTGTTTTAAGTTTTTCGTTGAGTTTAAGTTTAAGCTATTGGGGTTCGTCCACAGTTCGTCTATCAAACTGCATTGCGTTGCCCAAAACTTTGCACATTACGTCCATCATTTAAGTTTACAAATACATATGCATAAGTAGTACGTAGTTTGATTAAATATGTTTTAGTTTTATAATTAAAATGTTTTTTATTTTTACTTTCTCCCTCTTTCTCTCTCTGTCTCTCTGTCGAGTATAACTAAAAACTCCAACTCCTGGGGATTGTCCATACCATAAACGCAAATTTTTGATAGGTTCATTCATTGATCTGGATTAGTATATATGGGCAGCGTAAGACACTTGGAAAATGGGGTAGGCGGAAAATATATCGGAAGAGAGAATAGTAATAAAAACATTGAGAAATTTGGCAATGTGCACGGAAAGTTGAAGAAACAAAAAATAGTTGGGGTTACTATAGAACCTCGAATAATATGCAATATATAGTTGAAACCATGTCTCCCAAGCACTGCCCATCATTACTAAAACTATATTTAACAAATTTCAAATAATATATTATTATTTTTATAGAGTAAAACATTTGAACGGACTTCAGCACACGATTCCGTTCGCTAGGTCTACAAACGCATATACACATCATGTACATTCTAGTTATCATTTCTCTTTTATATTCATAAATTTTCATGGTTAAAAGGTGTATAATCTTACGAGCTAGTAATTTTATAGTTAATATCTTCAGGGCTCAACAACACTACAAAAACTATAAACAATTTGCTGGGTTAGACATTCTCTTTTTTTCCCTTCTTTGCTAGACAATTGAATTTTCTCTTTTTTGCTATTTTACAAACATGAAATTTTGTTTATACACAAATAACGGTTAGTTAAAAAGTAAGACGCAAAAGATATAGATACATTGTATATATAAATGATCAACAGAATTCGCATTAGATAATTTCATATAGATCCGTAGTTCTGTTCACTTGTGTTGTTCGGTTTAAAAACTACAATAAATTGTTATAAAATAAATTATGACTTAAACTGTATACATAAATATATGGGACTTGCTTAAAATTTATATTAAATTAGTTCATTAGTTTTTTTCTTTTTCTTTCTTTTTGAGTAAAGATTAAAGGTGGTCCAGAGAGTAGTATCCGGCTAATATATATTTTTCTTCATTTCATTTGATAATCTTGCGGCTTCATTTGCGCTCGATTGGCTTCACTTCGAGCAGCTGGGGATAGTTCTCCACGATGTTGAGTAGGATCGTATCGATATAGTGCTTGAGTCGCACATTTTCATCTTCCTTTTCCTGGAAGGCCTGTTGCAGCTGGAATTGATTGAAGGCCGATTAGTTGGATAGTCTTTTAGAGAGTCTTACACACTGAACACATTAACACAGACTTTGATTTCTTATATACAACATGAATGTTATGGATTTTTTTTGATGATCTTGATGAATTTCGTTAAGTACCCAATGGAAACCAACGTAAAAATTTGAAATTTTCATTAATAAATGTGCCGAAAATAATAGTAATTGTAAATTAAATACAGTGAACCACAACCAAATGACAGTCAGTCACTGTCAAACTGCAGCACATGCACAACGGCTCCCAAACCTTGTTCTGTTTGATTTTTGGTTTAATGAATTTGTTTTTGTGGATAAGCATTACCTGACTTAAGGATGCTAATGTGGCTGAATCCACAGAATCCTGTAATACAATAAATACATTTATATATATATAAAAATATGTGAGATGTAGAAGAAAACAACAACGACGAAATGCGGGACTCTCAGACTGTGCGATTCTAACAAGCAGTTGTGACTGTGCGTGGGCGGCGTGTTTGACTAATGTAATTGTGGGCGTGGACGCGGCATAATAAAAAAAGCAAAAGATCATAGGCATAGGCATAGGTACGGCGAGGAAACAGTGAAGCTTGGCTAAGTGTGGTCGGCCTACAAACCTGAGCTTGTGACATCTCCTCCAGCTCCTGGGCCAAATTGTTGAGTGTGCCATTCAGCAGGTTGCGGCCCTGCTCCACGCCGTTTGTCAGCATGGTGGCCTGATTCGTCAGCATGGTGGCCTGCAGCTCCTCGTTCTGCTCCTCGAGTGCTGCAAGGAGGAAAGATATGCATATGTTAATATAGAGTATAGAGATGAGGGGGTGCGATGATCATTCACTTACAGCGATTCTTTTGACGCATCTCCTCCAGCTCCTGATGCAGCTCCTCCAGTCTTATGCTCTCGGGTGATGTGGTGGGCATGGCGCGCGCCCCGTTCTCCTCGCGAAGGCGCTGCAGCTCGCGACTCAGCTCGAGCATCAGCTCCTCGGTGGACTTCTTTTCCTGCTCGTAGCGGCGCACCGTTTGCATTTGCTCATCGCACTCCTGTTGCAGCGCCGCAATCTGATCGCGTGCCAGCTCCAGCTGCTCCTCGGTGCGATGCAAATCGTTGGCCTGTTTATCGCATAAGACACGCAACCGTTGCGCCTCATCGCGCAGTGCATTCGCCTCGATCTCGGTGGCTTTGATCTTTATCTGGCAGTTCTCGTTCTGCAGCGAGGCTTCGCGTTCCACACGGGCCAAAATTTCGCGATGGCGTTTCTGTTCCTCGGCCAAACGTTCCTCGGCGCGCAGCTCCGACTGCAAGCGAAATGGAAACATTATTATCATATGTCAATGACTGTCAAACTGTTAACAGTCATTTACCTCTCTGTACTGCTCCTCGAGCATGTGATAGCGCGCCTGGAGCACCGCATATTCAGTCTTTGTGCGCGTCGTCCGATCCTCGGCTATATTTTGCGTATCTGACAGATCGTCCACCTTGCGCTGCAGCAGCTCCAGCTAAAAGAAAATCAATAAGAAAGAAAATATTGTTAGTGTTATTGCTTTCGTTGTGTGGAATATTCGAGAGTTGATATCAAACTACTACTAACACAATTTTTCTTCATATGCCGCAAGTCGCTGAGCAGCTCATTCACCAACTGCATATCAGCCATGTGATTTTTCAAATGCATTTGCACATATATGATATATACATTATCTGGCACTCAATATATGTATACTGTGTATCGGCTGTGTATATGTGTTTGCCTCTTGCACTCTGCTCATCAAAAATTCCACACAAATTTTTGTTGGCTTTGCGCGTTCGGCGTCGTCTTTGCTCATTTGCTTGCCCCAACCGACTGCAAACGTAGCCGGAGGCTGTATTATTTGTTTTATTTTCCGTTCGACAGCGGCGAACGCAACACGCTGTGGGCTGGCAACACTTAATTACACTCTGCAACCAAATCGGACAAAGCGTCTCAATTAAATATGCATTAACTTCATTCTAAACGCATTCTCAGCTCTGTTTCACCAGCAGCTGTTCTTGTTGTGCACACTCATGTGGCATTTAAAATTCCAACTCAATTTCACTTTTAATTTCAGCACTTTTGCTGCTCAGTGTAGAGTAGTCGAGAGTCGGAGACATAGCTGCCTAGCCCATATAAATTTCATAAATATTAAGCATACGCCCAGGTGTTTTATTTTCTGCACCCCAAAGCAAATGTTGGCGTTGCGTTCATCGAAGACTTTTGGCTAGACATGGGAAACTGAATTGTTAACTGCAGCGATTCCGAGTTTGCCACTGCTGTGCAGTGTAATTATCGTGCACACATACATATCTGTGTGTATGTGTGTAAGAATATATTTAAGAAATCACTCGTCATATGTGTGCTCAGCTGTTATTTACAGGCGATAAGGCATGTTGAAGGCGGATGCGCATTTGTGTTGCAAGCGTAACACTGTGAAGCTAATACACTCAACAAACGGGTGTTGCTACGGTTAGCCAGTGTTGCAAAGTTCTGTGAAAGTTAATACAGTGTATAGACGACTAGCGGAAGCAGAAAAAAAAAACATGACTGCATCAATTATATTCCTTATTTGCATTACAGTATATGCATATGCTAATAGCCAAGCGCTAGCTGCAGTGTTGATAAATGCATAAGTTGATATTCCAGTCAGGTTTGCTTATAAGTAGAAAATTGACTGCAGGAAATTAGGCATTCAAACATGCCCATAAATAGAATGCTGGATGGCTTCGATTCAATTGCTCATTTTTAAGGAATTTTTTAAATTTTTATTACAGTGTTGGTAAATTTTCAAGACAATATTTTAATCTATTAAAATGATAGAAGTGAATGTATAAAATTCATAATTTTTTATTTAGCTTTTGTTAACAGAGAATAGATGCTAATGCTACCAGCTATAGTGTTGGTAAATGCATACGAAATATTCGCCACGTTTGCTTAACTTTAAAAAGTGAGGTTTGTCTTCTTTATAAGAAGAAAACTTTCTATGTAAATCACAAGGTCAAATCGAATTACGATTCAAGCTAACGCAAATTCTCTTCAAATAAATAGCAGTATCCGAACCAGTGTTTGTAAATGCTTCAAGCTGTTTTGATTCTCAGCTTAAATGCTAAATGAGATTAAATAGAAATCCAATTGTATGGTCTCTGCTCTTCCATCTATCCAAATCTTTCTCATTTGCTTATTATTTACAGCTTACAAAAAGTCAAGTGAAAAGTTCAATTGAATAAAAAATGCCTCGCATTTGTGGGTGACTGTCTTTGTACAGTGGCTGTCAAACTGTGCCTAGAGCCTTCAATTAAGCTTAATTAACTGCAATTTGCGATGTTTAGGGGGCTATGTAAATAACAGCAAACAAAATGACTATGAGTAACCGATAAAAACACAAAAATAATTGACGTCAAAGCAAACTGAGAGCTATTTAGGTGAATAGATATATATTATATATATATATAAATATATGTGATATTGAATAGAATGAGAACCGTTGGACAAACAACGCGACGCGCGGCACAGCAACAACTGAAAAGAACTAGGAATGGGGCCCACCAAAAAAATGACATGTAAACTATCTATAAGACAGAGAGAGCGCCAGAGAGCAAGAGAAAGAGGTAGAGCTAGAGGAAGAGACCTGCTGAGTCAAAGTCTTTAGTGCCATATGGAGGGAGCTCTATTAGGGCCTCTGTTACTCAGATATGTGTACAATGAACCATGCCAAAAAATACAACAACAACAAAAAACAACACCAACAACAGCAACAAAATTATAGTATGTAAAGGGGCAGAAAAACTAGAATCTAATTCAAATTCTACAGAAATAAAAAGAGAAAAGAAAACAAAAACCGCTGGCTAAAATAAACAACAACAAGCCGTAAAATAACATAAAAAATAATAATATAAAAAAAGCAAATTAAAAGTCCAAGCAGACGCATTGAGTAACAAGTGCCGTTGCAAAACAGGAAAGTAGTGTGAGTGAGTGAGAGAGAGAGAGGGGGAGATAGAGAGGAAGACAGGTAGGGGAAGTGCAGGGAGTCGCTTTTGTCACTTGTCACTTTTGTTGAAGCTTGTTCCAGGGTTAACGCGGTCTGCGTGTCGAGCAACAGGAAACACCCTGTGTGTGTACGAAATTTTGTACAATTTTTAAAGCTGAGTCGTAACTTTGAACTGGAAAGTAGCGAGCAGTGTGACAGGTGACATAATGACGGCGGGAAATGGATGCTCAATAATGAAAAGCAAGAAAGACAAGCTGGCAGCTGGCAAAGGGTTAGGAAAATGCATTAGGCCAACACAAAATGACAATTTGGCTGAGCAAGTGCAAGTGAAAGGGGCTGCAATCAGAAATGTTGATTGCATGATTGACAGAATGAATACATATGTGTATATATAGATTGTAGATTTAAAACAATATTAATTATTATCTTAATGCAGGCATAAGTTGGATTTCACTCATCAACTGGCAAAGGGCTGGGAAAATGCTTTAGGCTAAGACTCGACGATAAATAAGCGAAAGAGGCTACAATCAAAAGTTTTTAGACAGAATGAATATATATAGCTTAGTATATATGTATGTAGATATGACATAGTATTAGTAATATAATAAAAATATATTTATAAGAATACGATTCACTTATCAAGTAACAAATTAAAGGAAATGATATTGAATGATTATCAGATTGAATATGATATATATAGGTGTGTATATAGATTTTAGATTTGAAATAATATAAACAAATTATATAACCCAATCAAATGTATGTTTTTGTTCATTCAGATATATTGGCTGAGTAACTGAGAGATTAAATATAATTAAATAGATATATTATAGATGTAAAATAAGATAATATAAAGCATCTTCATAGCTGCATAAGTTCGAGAAGTTTTCATTTCATTTCATTAGTTTTTCAACACTTACAATTACATTCCAATTGATTACCCCTAATCATATCGTTTTATATTAACGTTTCTCAATTAACAGCTCATAAACTCGCTCGATTAATTGAAAATCTGTACACCACAGCCCATAACAGTCAGCATTAGCTTTGACCTCAAAAGAGTCCAAACAAACACTTGCAACACTTTCCGCTTTCCGCTGGGGCAAAATACAATAATCCCCATTTGTTACATTTATCAAATGGGACGCTGCTCCCATTAGCATATATCAGGCGCGATAGACTTATATGTATATATATATGTATGTATGTATACATGTATATACAGTAAACATATGAGCAAGTGGCATCCGTTTCTCGGTCTTATCGGACTGCAAGTGACCTCGAGGGCCTGTGAAAACTCTGTTGTCGGAGAATCCGAGAGTTTTTGGCTCTTGATTAATAACATGCTCGCATTCACAGCTGCAGGCCCACAATTAGCCAGCAGCCAAATGTGTTGCGAGCGAGTCTGATAATCATGCATAAAACTGGAAAATTGCATCATGCAATTAGTTGCATGTCGAATTCTGTTGTGCGTGTGTGTGTGTGTGTGTGTGTGTGCCCCGTGGAGTCAGTGAGAGAAAGAGAAAGAAGTGGCTGTTAGCAACTACAACTACGATATCTCTCAACAGTTCTCCGATGTTCCGATCACATTAGCTTCCGAGTCAAAATTAATCTCTTTTCGAAACTTAAGACCCCAAAAGGCGCTTCTGTTCTCATTTCACATTTCTCACTTTGTCGTCTTCTCCTCGCTTACTTTCGTTGACATATTTTCACAAACACTAATCATTCGCTTGCCTAAGTTCCAGTTCATTTCATTCATTTCGTTCGTTCGTTCATTCATCAAAGTGCTTTGAGGGAATTTCTAGTTTGTTGTTATATATATTTAACTTATTTCCGAGGCAGCTGATCTCATTTGACGCATTTCTCGTATACAACGAAAGATAATTTATGTATTTGTTGTTTACTTTCAGCAGATGTTTGCAATTTACAAAAAAAGATCTTCTAATGTTTGTTTAAATTTTGATTTTTTTTTTAGGATAAATATGTCAAGGAAATACGTAAACAATTTTGGAAAAATATTACGGCTAATTGGTTACTAGAAAAAGTTGTTTTGCTTCGCTTTCTAGCTAAGGCTTGACATGAATATAGTTTATATGATAAACCTATTAATAATGTCAGTTCGTAAGCATTAGGCCTTTTATGTCTCCTTTACAGCTTGAAGACAATAATAATATATAGGCAATATACAGTTTGATAAACAATAAATTAGTACAACAAATACTAGGAAAAGTTTGAATACTACCTACTCAGAGGTAAATCCCGAAACTCTTCTAGTCATCTGCTTAGTATAAGTTGAACAACACTGTTTTGTAGTAAGTGAAGCAAATTTGTTTTCTAGTGAATCTTAGCTATTTTTAGATCAACTTTTAAAGACCTAAAGCTTAACAAAACATTTTTTTTAAATCAACATTTTCAACATTGTATAAAATTATTTCATTGCTCTGATTTGTCATAAAAAAATTTCAACACGGAAATTTACATTTAAAATGGTTTTGCAAGAT